ATATCTCAGAAGTCAGGTTGGTTACCCCTCCCAAGGACTTGCGTATGAAACTTTCTCCTTTGATTCTGGCAGTGATTTGAGTGCGGGCCTTGGGGGCCACATGTGAAGCCCTGATGGGAGGTCCTCCGCGTCCCGATGACCAGCAGCAGGAGGTAAAGGGCGGGTCTGACTGCAGCAAGCCCAGGAGGGCCCATCGCCTCTCCCTGCCTCAGCTTCCTGGCCTCTCTCCACTTCCCCCTTCTACCTGCTGACCTCACAACTTCCCCCAAACCTAACCGACAGGCTAGAAACCCACAGGGAAGCCTGTGGTGGGAGCTCTGGGCCTGCAGAGGGGGAAGGGAGCCATTGTGCTTCCGGTGCTGAAAGATGGCTCCCACGGAGGGCCTTGCTACCTGCACTCAGTGGCCTTTTAGAGACGGGGCCCCTGCGGCCCCATCCTGAGCTAGTCATCCAGAAACAAGAAGAGTGCCCGGGCGGCCCTTGTCTTAGCTCAGCAGCTGGCGCAAAGGCGCAGGAAGCTGTTGGCCGCATATGCAATGATTTTTCAAAGAAAGCGTTAACTTTTCATCACTACGTTTGGAACATTTAACCTACTTAAGAGGAGTACCTCTTGGCTTTGTCAATGTGAATTTCTTGCAGAGAAGCGTCCTGTTTGTTAGTTCTCTTTATTCTGGGGCTCTTAGGCATTTTCAGATAGTTCTAAAAATCAGCAAATATTTATTGTGCATTGAGCACAGCTACCTATGGTGGAGATTCGAAGGAGGGTGTAAACAGTCCTTCCCACCTTCCCAGGGCTTCTAATCTCCAAGGAAAGCAAGAGTGAAGCCAACTGGCAATAAAATAGCCACGATCTAAATAAATAGGACTCCCCAGAGCAGTCCAAGGGCCAGGGGGCTCCAGGGCTGTCCTTTCTGAGGGAGGCAGGCTCTGGCTGGGATTCCAGACCTTTGAACTGACCTGTTAGTGGCACAGACACAGAAGGAGGTATTCTTCAATTGTGCCTGCAGTGGAGGGAACATGGTTTATGCTTAATTTTTTTTTTTTTGCTCAATATTGGTTTCCATCCTAGAATTTCACACTGTTTTATCCTCAGAATAGTCTTGTGCAGGATCTTTCTAGGAGACTGATTCTCTGTGTCATCAGGAGGTTACAGGGACCAGGGACCTGTGAAATGGGGACTGTGATAAAACTTAAACAGCTGAGGTTGCTGATAAGTGGGTTAACTAACATGCATAAAGCCCCTGAACAGCCCCTGCTGCTTGCAAGGCCAGTCAAAGCTGGCTGTTAGGGCTCTCCTCGCTTCGGAAGCCTCACACAGACCCTGCGGGAGAGGGGCTTTTATCATTATGTCACATATGAGGAGAACAAGACCCTGGACCGCAAGTCTTCTCACAGGGATCATGTGACAGACACGTCATTAGAGGCCGTGTCTGTCCCATCACCTCCCTCCTCCCAGAATTTCTGCCTCCGAGTATGTATCAGAAAGCCCTGGAAAGCCTTTAAATAATCACTGTAATTTTCAGGGGATAAAATGCCCCATTTTACGATTGACTACAAAGTTAGTGTCAAGAGATCAGCTTCTGGGGCTTTTCAATACTGTATCCGTGTTGTCGAAACACTTCTTTCTTCTGTTGTTTTTTTCCCCTGCAGATCAAGAGAGTGCTTGTCTCCTAATTACTAAAAAATAATTGCCATTTATTTTTCTTCCCAAAATAAACCTTATACCTGTTTTGATGTCCTTGCTCCAGAAGCATCCAGAAGTCATTATGCCCCGGGGCATGGAAGGGTGATTCCAGGGGCAGGATGAGCCCCGGGGCAGGAACCGGTGGTGCTCAGAAGCGGCAACAGGCGCTTCAGGATGGCCATCCCAGAGGCTCTCGTGCTTAAACTTCACTTCCGTAATGAATGACGCCACTGTGTCCCCGGGGACCCAGGCTGGAGACCTGGCACTGTGGCTGGCACCTCCTCCTTGCACACCTTGTCCCGTGCCACCCAAGTCGTGCTGTGCTTTCACTCCCCTGCCTCTGCTGGCCCTCCATGGGCTTGCCCAGGATGGGACGGATGAGAGTGCTCAGGTGGCCTGTGGGACAGACACCCCCAGGCGTGTGCCCACAGGCCTCCATCTGTCTCGAAGCACAGATGAAGTGGATGGGAGGTGGGGCTGCAGGGGGACGTGCAGGAAGCAGTGGAGGCCGGTGGGGGGTGTGGAGCGGGGTGTGTGTGCAGCAGGAGCCATGCGGCCGAAGGCCGTGAGGAGGGCCCGGGTGGATGGACTTGGCCATGTTGTCCCAGCATGTGGCACCTGTAGGCTCTCCACTGTCTGCACGCTGGGATCTCAGGGCCTCCTGGGAAGGAAATCTTTGTTTGTTCCCCCAGACCTGGCACTGGAGCTTGAACGCTAGTAGGGCCTGGAAGAATTAGGTTGAATCTAACTGGGTCCGGGCACCGGCATTTCCCCTAGTGGAGAATATGCTCAATTCTGGAGCTTCAGGTCTGGACAGGCTTTTTGCCTCTTGCTGAGAACCTGAGGGGCTTCCAGCCTTCATGGAGGAGGCGCTGCATATGGACCCTCCCTGTGTGCCCCCAGGGGGACCCCGGTGTTAGCATTCGGAGGCTCCCTGATCCCTGTGGAAATCCTTCGTCTGCGTATTCCCACTGAGTGGCTTGCTTGACTAGTAGATGTCACTCAAAGGAACCCTTTCTCTGGGAAGATTTGCCTGGCCCTCTGTGGGCAGCATTTTTCAGAAGTACTGGCTTCTCCGAGTGTGGTGAGGGCCTGTCCTGGGAAGAAAGGCCAGAGGCCCAGGACACGGGCCCGTGTTTCAGGACGTGTAACAAGATCTGAAGTCCTGTTTGGCCAGGGCACGTGTCTCCCCTGAGAGTGCAGAGGACCCCCCATGTGGGCAGCCTGGGGAGCCCTCTCCTGCAAGGCTCTCTGTCTGTGCATAAGAAGGCTTTCTTGACCGTTTTGGCCAGATGTGACATTTTTCCGAGTTTGAGGGTCTGCAGTGGGTGGCCCCTCTTGGCCCTTTGGGGAGGGATCCAGGGCTCCTTGTTGGGGGGCTGGTGGCAGGAGCAGCCGCCTCCTCCTGGCTCTGCACTGACTTCCAGCTCTGGGGCTCTGTTCCCCGAAGCTGCCAGCACCCTGCTTGGGCCCCACTGGTGGGGGCTGTCAGGAGCCCTGTGAGTCAGCCCCACCTTGGACTCTGTGAGGCAACTGGGATCTTGGCTAAGCCTTAAAGATAAAATCAAATCTGTGCTGCCTTCTCTAGAAAGAAAAGCCAACCTCATCCTTATACTTCACCTCTCCCGGTGTCTGGAGGATGGAAGTAATGGCTGGTGCATGTAAGCCACCAGTCTTCAAGGGCCCCAACCTCCTTGTCCCCCTGTGTCCAGGCTTCCCCATGACTCCTGCTTCCTGAAGCAATTCATGCAATTGCACACCCTGTCCCCTTCCCCTGGAAGTCCCCTTGGTACAGACCCTGCCCCCGCATCATCCCCTCCTCATTTATTAAACACCTGTGCAGGCAGGTTGTCTCAGGGCCAGAGATGCCTGGCTCCACAGTCCCTGTCCACTATTGATTAGCTGTGTCTCCCTGGGCTGCTATCTAACCCGTCTCAGACTCAATCCTCTCACCTGTCCAACAGGATTCTACAAGGTTATCTCCCTTTGCAGGTGAGAAAGTGCGAGGCACAGTGTAAATTATACAGCTGCTCTTCTGTTTCTTGTCATGCCCGCCAGCCAGGCAGCAGCTGCCCCTTCCACCAAAGTGTGAATCCAGCCCAGTGACCGTGGTCCTGGCTGGGCCCCCGGGCCTTTTCTCATGCTCCCAGCCAGACTCAGTTTTATGTTCTACCTGGGCTTCAGGAGAGAGAATTTTCAAAAGCTTGAATTAGAAAAAAATAAGAGTCAAAGACTATTTCTAGCTTCTCAGCTGCTTCAGCAGTCCCTGCCCCTTCTGAAGGAGCTGGGGGGCAGGATGGTTACCCAGCTTTCTCTGTGGCTGTTGTTACTGTCCAAGTTGTTATGTGGCTGTTTGGCCTGAATGTCTGTCATACTGGAACATCAGCTACTCAGAGCAGAAGAAGGGTGGGAGGGAATGAATGAATGATACTGTGCTTATGGTACTTGCACCCAGCTGTCTTCTCCTTTTCCAGGTAGGTTGATAATCCTCTATTGTGCAGCAATTTTTTTCTTTTAATTTCTAGGTTCATACAACTGAAACTGTCTTAGATTTATGTAGAAGAAAAAATTTCATATCACCTTTTTGCTGTGAGCTTTGGGAGGGAGGTTTGGAGTATGGGCCCTTGGTTGGAATTTAGAAGGTGTACAGGATCAAATCATGCCTTTTCTGACTGCTCCGTTCCTATTTATAGCACTGTAATGACTTTGCTGCCCTACTGGCCAAGGTGGAGTTTAAATGACTGACCAAGGGGGGGAAGTAATTCATTTCTTTTTCCCCCAGATGCTATTCCCTCGCCTGCTTTTCTTTCGCTCTCTTCCTATTCAGGTCCTTTTATGATCTTTCTTTGTCAAGGACGTTGCTCATGATTGAGTGCTTTTATCTGCTGCTCCCCAATATATCAATTTGGATAGATTTAGGACAGATAAAAATGCTAAAAATAGCCTCGTTTCCCTTTACACAGAAATCTCAGGAAGATTTTTAACTAATGGCATTTGGCTCGTTTCAATTATTACGGTTACTTTGCTTTGAGTTCTAGAGCCCCCTACAAGCCTAGGTCTTCTCGGCATCAAGGAAAACCTGAGAAGCTTGAATGAACTACCCAGCTGCACCGACTCCTTTCTGTTTTACAGATGTTGAAGAGAGCTGGCCATCGAGAAAACACACAGGGAACAAAAAGGGACTTTGATCCCAAGCTGGACCCTAAGTCTGTATGAAACATGGAGGGTGTTAGCAAGAATGTCTTGCTTTAAGCCAGTTTCATTCTGGGTGAAGTCTGTACTTGAAGTTCCTCTACTAACCTGACTGTGCTTGCAGGTGGGGCAGAACTGATGGAGAACCTGGACCAACCGCCCGCCCTCCTTGGGCCCCTCTCAGCAACCATGAGGTCTACATGGAAGTGTAACTCCAGGTCTTGTGGAAGTGAGAACTGCAGCGGTAGCCCCCGACTCCCCCCACCCCGCCCCACGTCTATTTTGGGGCTTCTGCCTCGGGACTCCTCTCACCTATCTGAAAGGCTGGCTTGAAGTGGACTCATTCAGGACCTTTCTTTATAGAACTCAGAGCCTTTGTTTGTAGCCTTATCTTTGTCCTCATGGCATTAGAAGCAAAGATATTTTCCATTACACTTTTCTATAACGTGCATTCTGCTCCAAGCTCTGCGGTCATGGGTACAATTACACTGAATCCTGATCTGACTGCCAGAATGCAGCCTGAGGCTGAAGACCTGGGACCAGGAATGTCTGATCTGGTGGGTGGACCCTGGCTCAGATCTTACCTAAATCATCAGAGAGGTAAATTGAAACAGAGACAATAATCATGGCCAGCCTCACTCCCCCATCCTACAGAAGGGGTGGGAACTGAATTTTAAGCAGCTGGAAAGATGTAAAGAGTATATAAATTGCATTTTTTTCAATTATAATTTTTTTTACTATTTATTCTGAGGTCCGGTTAGAATGTAATGTGGAATTTTATTAGAGAAAAGCTAGCATAACTTTGTAACCTGCTTCAACTCCTTCAGATACAATTGTGGTCATATCACTTTTAAATTTCCAAATAATTTATTGAGTGCACATATGCCTCTTTGTACCTGCCTCTTGAGGGCACCCTCCGAAATGTATGTAAACCTGGGGATAAGGGGTTACTTAATCAAAAGAAGTTCAGTTAATTCTGCTTCTAAATGTCAGTCAACCAGAGAGCTGCGTAATCTCCCATTGTTGTCTCTTACCACATGGTGGCAGTGTTGAAGGTGAACCTGCACAGCTCTGGGGACACTTCTACACTGTGTGTTGATGTCCTGCGTTCTCCATCTCTGCACCAGTTGGGGTGATGGTCTACTGGTGGCCTCCTGGGACACAGTCCTCCTCGTCCACACTGAGCTTAGCCAGCGTTTTCCTGGATCAGGGCACAGTGCTGGGAGCCAAGCTCTGAGGAGTCACTAGCACAAGCTGTGCCACAGCAGTGCTGCCCAACAAGCTTAGGCCATGTACTGAGCCCACACCAGCAAAGAGATTCCCAAGGACTTTCTGGATTCCTCTTTGGGACCATTGATATCTTTCCTTACAGATGTTGGGTCAGAACCACCACTGTACTTCCTGACAGACCCTTAATGTTGAATGGCTGGCTCTGTCCCTTTTCTTTTCTTTCAATAGGCTCTGGGGCTTCTTTAACAGACCTCTTAGCCTCACCATCAGTGGCCAGTTCCTCATACCAGAAGGGAGATGTTTGCCTTTGCTTGAATACAATATGTTAATTAGGTCCTAAAGGAGAGGCCCAAGCAATGTTTCATCAAAGGAAGAAGATGTCTTCTGAGGTGGATTGCTATTTTACCTGACAAAGACAGGTGTGTGTGTCTATGGTGAAAGGTGGTGGGTTGGGTGTGCGTAGCAAATAGTTTTGACATTCAGTTACAAAAATTTCAAAACCACACAAATAATAGTTAGAATATAGCATTCATTACCTGTGGACTGTGGACTCCCTTAATCTCTCTATAAACTTTATCAGTTTATAAGCTTTATCGTTATCAGAAGTCTCACTAGTTATTTGCTAGTAAATTGACTCAGATGTCTAAAGTTTCAAACCTGATTTCTATAATTTAAGTAATTCCTTTTCTCAAGATATAATTCTTCAAAATTTGGGGCAAATATTTCCTTAAAAATGACTTTTGAATTTCTAATATTAAAAGCAGACCTACATTAAG